GTGAGTATGGATGGCGCTGGAGAGTGGCGCCCGAGGCGCCCGACGCCCCGCGCTGCGCCCCGCCATCGATTCAGATGGAAGCCCCACCACCCCGCGCCACCCGCAACGCTCCCCACCCTGCTGCCTCACACTACACCACGCCACCGCCGCCCCGCCCCCCACAGCCCACGAGGCGAGGCGTGGTTGACACGGCGCGACCCTACCCTACTCTGCCGCTCCTTGGTGCCCGCGGGACGGGCGGGGCGCCCTGTGCCCAGCCCCATATTCTGTCTCTGGGGGGGAAACATCTGAAACTTTAACTACAGCCCCCGCCGGGAGGGGCCGCCCCCGGACACGGGCGCCCGGGCCGGCGCCTGCCTGGCCTTGGCCGGCCAGGCAGGCATGAATGGGCTCGGCCCCACTATATCGGGTGACAAGACGACTGCGCGGGCGGAGCGAGCGAGCGGGCGCAGCACGAGCAGCACTCAAAGTGAAAAGCTGCAGCACTGTAGCTTACGGTGATTATCACTGTAAGCTAAGGTGAATTTCCTGCATGCTATACAGTGAACCTCACCGTAAGCTACGGTGAATCTCACCGTAAGCTACGGTGAATGTCACCGTAGCTTACGGTGACATTCACCGTAAGCCACGGTGAATCTCACCGTAAGCTACAGTGCTGCAGGCTTTCACTGTAGCTTACGGTGAAAATCTTTGTAAGCTTTTAACAGTGCTGCTCCCAGCGGGAGAGCCTCTCCCCTCGCGCGGGTCATGCAGCGCCGCTGGAGCACCGAATGATGACTTAGCAGCGGCAGCGCTTGTGGTTGCCCCTCGCGCTGAGTCCCGGCCTGGTTGCATTCCCGGTCGCGGGGCGTCAGCGAGCGAGTGGGGGAGTAGCGAGCTGCCACTCGCGCTGTTTGGAATTGAATTATAATAAATTGGGTTAAAGACGGCACTACGAGGACAGCCACCACCACCAGTAGCAGCTACAGCAGCAGCCGGCATGACGTCAAACCGCCAGACCTATCGGGTGGGGGAGGGAGGG